GAGAACGATGTTTGTACTGTTCCCCTGAAAAAAGCCCCATAGCAACAAGGTTCATTGTCTTGACTTGAAATGTGCACATATTCCTCTAATTTCAGTACAAAGTCCAGGATTGTGGCCAGTAGTTTGCTCTGGTCACTTTGTGCAGTTTAAAACCACTAAAAAGGGTTTTACATGTAGCCCAGAAGTTCCCAGTCATCTTGATTTGTGTTCAACCTCCTGGTACATTTTGATGACGTTGCTCAGAAACTAATTTGAGACTTGGCTGCATTATGTAAAGTAGCATGTGGTCATAAACTAGTCATCTTTATTGAACTATATATGGACTGTCTCAGAGTGTAAAGCAGGCGCCAATCTGGAAAGCCAACCAGCGGATGGGGTTATTTAGGTCTGATGGTTGCTTTCGTATAATCCAGCAGGTGAAGTCACAAATTATTGTCGGATAGAAGCAGAGAGCTCCATTTTCCTTAAAGATTTCCTGTGGATGTGTGAATACTTGAATGCTTAAGATAGGCACATTCAATGACTAGCTGTATGTGTAAGCAAAGTCATACCGTTTTAAAACGTAAATCAAATGTCATACTTTTGTTTGGATGAAGCCAAGTGACCCAAAAACTCTGGGAACACGTTTTAGTTCATTTAGACTACCCTTTAGTATTATGCTAGCCTTCATTTTTCTCTCAGTCAAATTTAGGGATGACAAACTCATTTTACATTGTGGGAAACATAGAGCCCTCTTTAATCTTAAGCGGGCCAGACCAGTAAAGCCGTCCTTTCTGTCAGTGGAAAGAACTTTAATCTTTAGATATCCTAATATAAGAAAAATAAGTGAATTTTTACAGTTTTTCTACAGAAATGAAGAGAAATGCTGCTCTGTTTAGTGAAAGACATCCAGTCCAGGGAGCTGGGTTGGAGTCTTTGCTGGGTGGATTTTGGCCCCTGGGCCTTATGTTTCGAACCCCTGGTCTAACTAGAATAAAGCACCCTGGAGCTTTTGAAAGCTTTTCCTTGACCTCTCCCTGACCTCTGACCCTTTTGTCCCTTCCCAAGTGCTTGTGCCCCAACTGCCCTTGGCCCCATACCTTAAAGCTCTATTATTATTGTTATAACTCTTATTATAACTATTTGAATAGTGAATCTGGAAGGAATACACTTTTTTGTAGAAAAGGCTGTGTTGAGCTGGCTATGACCCAACAGAGGTACATACATTCTTAATGACAGAGAACATCTGACATATTAGAGGGTTGCCAAATTAGAAAGATAAATGGTAAATGGCCTGTATTTATATAGCGCTTTACTAGTCCCTAAGGACCCCAAAGCACTTTACATATCCAGTCATCCACCCATTCACACACTGGTGATGGCAAGCTACATTGTAGCCACAGCCACCCTGGGGCACACTGACAGGGGCGAGGCTGCCGGACACTGGCGCCACCGGGCCCTCTGACCACCACCAGTAGGCAACGGGTGAAGTGTCTTGCCCAAGGACGCAACGACCGAGACTGTCGGAGCCAGGGCTCGAACCGGCAACCTTCCGATTACAAGGCAAACTCCCAACTATTGAGCCACGATCGCCCACAGATAACTCTAAAAGTCTTTTTTAAAGCTTCCTCAGTCTTCACGTTCACATTTTAAGTTGCAAGTTTTGACAATTTGAGCCTTGCAATTGGAAATCGGAAAAGCCTAGAGCCATGAGAGCTTTACTGCCCCATTCATGCTCCGAGTCTAGCCACTGCCTCTGAGTTCTTTCCTTGACAATTGATGTTAAAGTGGTGGACACTAAAGATCCCGCCTCCAGATGATCGACCTGCTCGTTTTGATTAGTTTAGCCAGGCAAGGCTTTGCTTTGATGTCGCAGGCCTGATTTTCAAAGACTGGTGTTTTAATTCTTGAATGAACAGTCCTGGCTTGAAAATGGGTTATTATCATTCTAATATATCAAAGCCAACACATTTGCCACATTGCAAGTATTGTAAAACTTGTTACCGGTTAAACATTACATCTTATTGGCTGTTTTTACCTCGTCACCTCGTTAGAAAGGCAGCACAGGGTTCAGAACGCCAAAAATGATATCTGCAAAATAGGCATAATGTATATTAAAATAAAATAACAGTATTCCCTTGATATATTTGATGTATTACAATCCACTTCAAAATGTACGCAGATATACATTCAGATATAAACCATCAATGCAAAGCATCTTACACATGTTTATGCATCATATTGTGATTTTGTAGTGATGGTGGCATTCTCCTGTGGTAGGACTCAGGGCATGCAGTGGAACAATTATCTTATTCTTGTTTTATAGTACTGCTGTTTCGTCTGCTTGCGTAGGCACTTGCCTTCAGACTGCCTTCAGAGTGAGGGGTTTTCAACCTTTGCAAACATGGTCTCATGCAAGCCTCCAAAAGCTCAACACCTCATAGTTCAGCTGTACGTAGATGAGATGCTGAGTGGTTGACAAGTGGACTGGAGCAGGGAAGGGAGTTCACCAATAATCGGACAAGCTTTAAGCAAAACATCAAAAGTTAAAAATACAGCAGAGCACAGATGATGGCTGCAGTGGACACTTTTCATTGTTTTTTAACACTCAGTTTCACTTCAGCTCTTCATATGTTATGACTTTGCTCTTCTCCTGACATGTTTGAACAGCACAAGTAAGAGTAGCCCACAGGCTGGTTTTACCACAAACTTTGGACACTGTTTTGGCAGCAGATGCTCACTGCAGGTAGACGGGCTGTCCATAGCTCCCTACGGTCTACTAAGGCACTGCCAACAGGGAACCATGTTCAGCCCATTAAGCTGTCATTGGCTTTGTTTACAGACTCTAAGTTAACACAGTGCATATGGGCAGGTGGTGATGCTGTACCAGGCTCAGTGTGGATAGGTCAGTGTATTCACACTGAGTATATAATACAGTAGGTATCATAACAGTGCAGTCTGCATGCATCGTGAAGTCTTAGCAAAGTGGCTTTTAAGTGTTATTTAAAAAGTTATAACATTGCACTAACAGGATTTTTTTTTAACACTAATAAGTTAGCAAGCTGGCTTCCAGATTCAGCCTGAACTGAGATCCATGTTTCAGTGATAACAGTCACTGACACAGAGTGACCAGTGGCACCAAATAACTACATTATCCTACAGGGTAATTTACTGTTTGTTAACAGTGTTGTGGAGAAAACAGTCAGAACAGAGAGCGACCACATTAGCATGACGAGATAGCTGAGCATCTTTGTTTGCCGCAGGTTACCGACTTGCACGGTCAGCCATTTTTTGTCCTTTTTTTTCCCTAAAAATTCACTCCAAATTAGCCCCACTTTACATAATTGAGATCAAAACAGCCTTGTGCCTTATATGACCCTTAGATCTAAGCCATAATAAAACTCTCTCTCCATAAATCTTGCCCCCCAGTATTAGTTATAGGCAACAATCCGGTCGTTAAGTGATGACGTGACGAATCCTACTTCCGGGCCTAAAGTAGTCTGCGTTTAATATGGCTTTTGTGTTGTTAACATGTTTAATGTTTTGTATTTTCTTCTATTTAATCTCAAAAAGCTCCTAAAACAGTCAGTGATTACTGTTGACCTCCCTCGGCTTTTATTACTGCTAATCATTTATTTAAGCTCAGTTTTTAAAACCTTAAGATGTAACTACAGCCCAGCCCATGCAGCAGTATGTGAATGACTAACCTCATATTGTGGATGGATTATCTCAATTGTTCTCCTGGCTGAAGTTTGGTCCTTTTACAGCATCCTGCCATGCGATTACATTTGTTCCTGACCACCGAGAACACTCCCGTTAATTTTTATCGAGTGGAAAAAAAGTTAGCTTGTTTATATTATGCTAACATAGCTGTGTTGCTAGCGGTCACGTAGCACATCATTATATACCAGCTAGCCAAACTTCAGTAACCCTACAAATGTCACTGCTGTTTAGTTTTCTGTCTTCATTTATGTTGGAAGTGATAACAGAGCTGTACGTTTTAATTTGTTTCCAAAACCCCGCAGTCAGGACATGCTATATTGTATTTAGATAGAAGCTAGCGAGCTAACTTTGTGCTAACTTCTAACTCCGTTAAATGTCATAAATTCCGTTTTCATGGATGCCTGGATGTTAAACTCAATTGTTACACCTGGTAGAGCAGAACGCTGATCATTTTATTAAAGATGAAAGACTTTAGACAGTTTTTCAACTCTCAGTAATGCCATAGTGATCGTTTGATATATGGACCTGCAGCGGAGTTTAGGCCCACACACGGCTAGTGACGTCAGACTTAACGACCGGATAGGAAATTGTATTTATTCACAGGAAGCGCCTGAGTAAATACTGCTAAGCAGAGCTGGCTAAATCAAAGTCGGGTGAACATGCTTGAACACGATTTTCTTTTTCAGTACATCTTCCACCTCTACAGCCACAGCTCTGAGAAGTGTGCAGTTAACTGAAATCATTTTTAGTTGTTTCACGGGTATAGAAGTCATCCAAACAGTGGAAAATTTGAAATGCTACATTTGTTACTTAGTGAAGCTGCTTGAAACACATGTAAAGTACTTTAATTCACTCTCATAAGAACAGAGCTGTGTGTGTGTGTGTGTGTGTGTGTGTGTGTGTGTGTGTGTGTGTGGCATTTTGTTCAGTTTATTTTATCTTGTTGTGGGTGTGCACCAACTGTGTAAATGTGTGTCCTGGAAGTAGGTGAAACATGCCTTCTGTTGCTCTCCTCCTCTCTCTGCTGACAAGTTCTCTTAACTGTGTTGTATTTTCAGCGTGGGTATTAAAAATGAGTAATTTGGCAAGCTTTCTGTGTGAAATCTCCACAGACTTGAAGTGAGTTGGAGGCTTAGAAGTTCCTGACAATGACAGGATGCCATCTTCTGTTTGTGTGGGACACGGAAAAAGATATACACATATCCCGTCTCTTTAAATCGGGCCCTGATCCTTGATTTGGGAAAATCTATGTTTTTTCATTCTTTTCCTGTCTGTATTTGTTCTAATTTGCCCTGCAGGGTTTCTGTGCACCGGGGATCAGTCTGCTAAGGGGAACTATGGCTTGTTGGACCAGATCCAGGCCTTGCGTTGGCTCAATGAAAACATCGGCCACTTTGGAGGAGACCCAGACAGAATCACAATCTTTGGCTCTGGAGCTGGTGCCGCCTGTGTGAACCTTCTCATCCTCTCCCACCACTCCGAGGGTAAGGTTCTTTCCCTGTCCTTGACCGATTAGTAGTCACATACTCCACTCAAAGGGGATTAATATTTCAGGACAGTGTGTGGGTAATGTATTTCTTTACAGAGCATGTTGGTGCTTTTCAGTGAAAAGCCTAAAGCAGATAAAAATGCACTGCAGTATTATTCCCACGAAGAAAGGGATTCAGAGATGAGTCACTTACAGTTTGGGGCACTATGGTATTATTTCAATAAGCAGGACAAAACTCCAAAGATCAAGTAATTTGAAAGAAAACGAGGTTGTGAGTTCTGGAGTTGACAAATGGTTTTAGACAGTAGGTTTTTGCTCTAAAACCATGACTCCCCTTGGGACAAAAACCCTTTAGTAATTCCAAATAACATCATTCCACATGAAACTACAGTCACTGAAAAAGCATTGAGATGAATGAGTGTGTCTTCTTATCACTTTTCTGTCAAATTGGCCTTTTAAATGTTACAGAGTTACATATAGTGTTGTGAATCTAAACTTTTACTATGTGTTATAGGTGCATAAACTAGCCCAAACATAGCCCATTGATAGGTGGTTGCTAGGAAGCATGGTCATAAGCATGGCCTAAGATGCACCTGTGTGCAAGCTTTGTGTAATAAATGTGTACTTTATTATTTAATGTGATTTTAATGTTATATAAGGCTTAAGACATCCAACATTTTATTTTATATGTTGCTGTAATATCTTTAAGCCATCTTCAGGAATAGTTCTCCAGGCTTCTTGAAGGACATTTAAAGGTATTCTTTGGCTCTTGGCTGCCCCCCCCCCTCCCCATCAGTTTTGACAAGCCCCCCAACACAAGTGTCTAGATGCAGCCCCAAACCATGAAAATGATTTGAGCCTGAAACTTGAAATTTAGATTCATCATTCTGTAGGACCTGTAACCATCCACATGACAGGTTCTGGATTAGGCACTAGCATCTGCACCTCATCAGTAGAAAAGGACCGTTTAGTTCTTGAATGGCGGATCTCTAAATTCTCGCCAGATGTTCTGTCATTAATACTCTCTATGATTTTGGTCTGTGGAGCTGAGAAGTCAAATAGCGTTTCATTCCTTACCAAGAATTCAGATTATTATATTACTAAACTGTTAACCTTCACACAGAGAGACTAATCTTGGACGGATTAAACAAATAAAAATACTGCATGTACTGTAGGAAGCAGATTCTCGGTTGATGCAAGGGGTTGAGTCAGGAAAAAAGTCAGGAGGTCATTTGCTAAGTTTTTAAGGTTCCTATAATACCAGCTCATATTGCATGGATACTTTGATAGTTCAGGTTTCCAGGTTGAACACTGAGGCTCACAGAGTTTATATACTTTTTCCACTGAAAACACATATTACATATTACATCAACACTGATCACACTTTCCTTTATGTGCTTTGTGCATTGCTGAGAATTTCTTCTGTAGAACGTGACTGTTGGTCAGTGTTATGGCAGGTTTAATAGTGGGTGCAATATCAGAAAAACACAACTGGTTGTTTTGCATAGATTAGCCCAACTCCATTTTGAAAGCAGGCTGAAGCAACGCAAAGTCAAGAAAAAGTTGGAGGCTGAACAGTTTTTAAAGGTACAGTGTGCGTGTGTCTGTATGTGTGTGTGTATGCCGAGGAGAGATGAGATGAGGCGCTGGAGTTGCAGCTGAGAGGCTTCTTAATTGATTTCACAGGGAGAGGAGCGGGGGCGGGGCACATGCAGAATATGGGGGGGCTTAATTATTAATGACAGAATCTGCAGATAAAACAGAGGGACAGCAAGCCACTTTACATAACAGTGCAGCGGTGCAACAGTGCGAGCAGTTTTCTTTCTCTTTCTGTCCTTTTTGCTTTATCCAACAAGCCGTGCGCAGATTTGCCGCCATTTTTCTTGCTGCTGTCTCTCGTTGCATGTAAATGAAACACTTCATGTTTTTTACTCTGGTCTTCATAAAGATTTTCTCCAGCTAAGAAGTGCATCAGGATATCTACTTCATCTTGCCCCTGTAATACTCTACAATTGCTCCTCCTCTAACATATGCATTATTTAACGTGCTCTCACTGTAAGGCCTTGAAGGCACCATCAGCTGCTAGCAAAAGTGTGTCGGGGGGGGACACAGCTAAGCTGATGGAGAATAAGTGTTTGTATGTTTTAATACATCTGGTGTATATGTGTTTTTGTATAGGGCTGTTCCAGAGGGCCATTGCTCAGAGTGGCTCAGCCATCTCCAGTTGGTCGGTGAACTACCGACCGCAGATTTACACCAAGATCCTGGCCAAGAAGGTTGGCTGCACCACAGGGGACAATGCAGAGTTGGTGGACTGTCTGCGTAGGAAGAGTTTCAGGGAGCTGGTGGACCAAGACATCCAGCCTGCCCGATACCACATCGCCTTTGGTCCTGTGGTAGATGGGGACGTGGTACCTGATGACCCTGAGATCCTCATGCAGCAGGTTGGCTTTGAATTCTTCAATTACCGTACACTGTGTGATACTGTGAGAGACAGAATATCAAAAAGTATTTGATCCGCTGCGCCAGACAGAATTCTGGCTTCCACAGTTTGACTTTGATTTTTCAATTTCATTTTTCTCCATTATAATGAAAATCACATAAAATCAGAAATTCAAACCTACAAATTCAGCAGAGGATGAAAAAAATTATTTCCCCTATACTATATGAATACATTCCTGACAAGCATTACTGCTCCGTTCTGTTTTGTATGTCATGCTTTGTGTGTGTTTGTCGTGACACCAGGGCGAGTTCCTCAACTACGACATACTGCTGGGTGTCAACCAGGGAGAGGGCCTGAAGTTTGTGGATGACAGTGAAGGAGAAGATGGAATATCAGCTGCCTCATTTGACTATACTATCTCCAACTTTGTGGACAATCTGTATGGATACCCTGATGGTCAGATCCTATCCCTATTTTTCTAGACTATTACGATGTGTTTCTTTCTAAATGTTGTTGGCCTCAACAGCACTAAGCATTTATAAAAATGACATCGATTTGCTTGTGAATAGAGACTACAGTCCTTCGTAAGCCAGGCTGGTCAACAGTATTCACAGTAAATTATGTTTCGGAACCTGTGGCAAAAAACATGTTTTGACCAAAAAATCTAAAAGATTTCAGCCTTACATGCTTTCACATAATGTCGCAGACAACCATGGACTCTATCATGGCATAAATGCTCACATTAACTTCTGTTTTTTCCAAGGTAAAGATATCCTCAGGGAAACCATAAAGTTCATGTACACAGACTGGGCTGACAGAGACAACAGCGACATGCGCAGGAAGACCCTCCTGGCTCTGTTCACAGACCACCAGTGGGTGGCCCCAGCTGTCGCCACTGCCAAACTCCACGCTGAGTACCAGTCACCCGTCTACTTCTATACCTTCCACCACCACTGTCAGACTGAGGCGAGGCCAGACTGGGCAGATGCTGCCCATGGAGATGAGATCCCCTATGTGTTTGGGATTCCCATGGTGGGGGCCACTGACTTGTTTCCTTGTAACTTCTCCAAGAATGACGTAATGCTCAGTGCTGTTGTGATGACATATTGGACCAACTTTGCCAAGTCAGGGTCAGTATAACACTTAATTTCAAGTGAATTATGAATTGTGTATAAAGTATTGATTATATTTGTCACATATTACACAATGACTAACTCAGTCAGACTTTTAAAAGACAAGCATTTCTGGGCATTTTACAGATGAAACATTTTTGTGTGTAAAGCTTTATGGATCAGTCCTCTGTGTTGAGATTCTGAAAGACACACAGCATACAAGAGTTTCAGTAAACGCTAACATAGAATATGGCATTTCTAAAACTACTGCCGTCCTGGAATTTTCACACACAGCCATCTCTAGAAACTCACAGAAATTCACCTTAAAAGAGTTTGGAGGAGAATTGGTGTTGTCACAAAACCTATAGTGACACAGAGGAATCCCCCACAGTGGAAGAGACTGGGTTTCCATTTCTGTGAGCCATGAACAGAAATCTAAAGCAACAGAGGGCACAAGATCATCAAAACCCGAAAATTGGAAACTGATCGTTGCTTTCTCTAAATAATAGGGTCAGAAGTTGAGGACACTTGAGGACAGCATTAATCCATAGACCCTGCCTTGTGTCAACAGTCCAGCCTGCTGGTGGTTCAGTGGTGCAGGGAATGTTTTTTGGCACACCATAAGAATTAATTATGAATTAATTATGGTTTGAATGCCACATCCTGCCTGAGTATTGTTGCAGACCATGTGAAACACTATGTCATAATCACACCCATTGGAGGGGAAAACACTTGGCCCCACATTGCGTTGCTGAGCTCTGAAATGCTGCAAATGCTCTTAATTGGTTAAAAGCATCATATTTTGCTGTATGTGGGGAGGGCACTGGTTAGTACCGTTGTCACATAACAAGAAGGACAAGGAGTTACTGTCACAATAAAAAATCAATAGAGAGCCCATGCAGCCACAATTTACCATCTTTTAATTGCTATTTCCAGCATTATGGTAAGACTGTTTCACATGCAAATGTTAGCTGTTTCACATGCAAATGTTAGCAAATCACACTCATTGTTATAAACATGGCAGTGAGTTCAGGGGACGTCACTGCAAGAAACTGATTATGCAGTCAGAATGTGAGCAA